AAATTCCTCCCTCAACTGTTCGGGTCCAACATTCCAAACAATAAAAATGTTCGTCATACAAGAACTGCTTATACGGGATCGTTGCTGCGCATAGGATAGGTTATGCCGTTCCAAAGGGGACGTCAGTGCCCACTTCATAACATCTTCCAAAATTTTGCAGCAGAACGCAGTCAGGCTGATTGTGCTGTAATTGTTTGCAGAAAGGGTAGGGATTTATCGTAGGACCGCCATACGGCAAAAGTCCCCCACCCAAATATCTTACGGGATTCGTATGGAATGAAAGGGTGGGGCACACCAGGGACCGTAATAGGTGCGTGATAACTGCGCAATAAGAAAGAAATCAAAGCCTCTCGTAATTGTTTTGCTGAACTAAACATGTAGGTGAAAAGGTTGCGGAAAGGACAAAAAGCCGAAAATGAAGTCTACAGATCAAGAAAACTTTAGAACGATTCCTCTTGGATAACATAATCAAGGAAGCGTTTGAATAACGGAAAGTTGATCTACTGATTATTTGCAAGTAGTTTTTAAAATACGAATAATATATTCTCTCTCAGGTGGCACTACGATAAATCCGCACCACGTAGAGTTCCCTACCACCTTTATATAGCGTAGTCATTCATGCAGATAAACAACTGATTCCTAACGAAGGTTTGAAAAGCATGGAAAGCGGTTAGGCTAGTTTCTCGGCGAATTCCGTCAGTAATATGGTTGAATATCATCAGATCCCGGCTATTTCGACTCATTTGGAATCAACAAATCTTGATGAACACTGGCTTTAGTAAAGGATATATAAACAACCTTTGGAACCTTGAGTGAGCCATAGTTGGGAGGAGCAAATTAGCTTCCGTGGATAGATTTAAGGAATTGTGAAAAGTTTGCAGTTTTTGATTCATCCTCACTAATTTCTAGGTCGTCACTTCCCTTTCATTGTAGGACGAGGATGTGTTCGTTCTTGTGCAGTTGAAGAATAACTTCGGATTTACGAACGCCTGATTCAGCAGGTCTTTCTCAACATCTTGCAGTGTCCTGAAGAGAAGTCACCTGATTAGCTTCCTCCGTGCTTTGTATGCGTTCATGGATACATGATTACCATCAGTGGCGAATATCCTCTTCCACATCGGCTTTTATTTGTTTCTTTCTTAAACGCCTAAATCAGCCACTGGTGTTTGTTGTCCAGCTTCCTCCGAAAATTTGGGCAACGGTTTCTAATGAGAGTATGCAATAACTCAATGAACTGTACCAATCCTCCGCTATCTTGCCGGAAATAGGTGATTCCCAAATAATTTTTTGATTTTGGTCTTTATTTGATCTAACTCATCATGCCAAATATTTCTTATAACTCTGGTGGGCTGTTCAGGCACCGAAAATATTGAATAATCCTATTGGCGTACGACGTACTCACTTTGGTCTAGAGGAGGAGGACATTAAACCAACAATTTTTTGATCACAATGTCAGGCAGTTCGATCGTTCCCCTCACACATTCTCATGAGAAAAAGGACATTTTAAGTGAGAAATTGCTTGAATGCCCGGTCCAGTGTCAGACAAACGCTAGTTCTGGTCTACCTGCATATGTCCAAATCCCATCAACGAGCGGTGCATTGAAGTCACCCATAATCAGGACAATTGTCGAGCAGTGAACCTTGATAGCCCATGTGACAGACAGGCGTCGACCTCGGAGTGACTCAGTGGTGGGCAATAGATTGTCAAAACTTCAAGATTGGGTGATTCTGGGTACTTTTACAATAAACCAGCTAGCCTCGACACTGCATGCAAACTTTTCTTCTTTTTTGTGACACTAGCAATGTATGTTTTTCGTAAGTCACACTTCCTCCTACCTGACGCCCTCTCCTATCGCCTTTATTCGAATGCGCTTAGTGTTATTCCTAAATAGAAGATTTGTGGTCCTGCGCCAACGGTTCGCCTATTGGCCTCTCTTCCACAACTGTTCTGAAGGGTTTTGGACCAAAACCGAGAAAAGGATAACCAGAACGCCTGTCGGAAGGGGGGGGATAAAGAATACGGATGCGATGTCGGTACAACACCAACGAAACAAATGCGGGGCTAATGCCTGTCATATAAATAACTGCGGTCAAGTTAAACAAAAAGAGTGACATGGTCTAATAGGTATGAAAATGTAAGTGACAATAAGGAGGGAACATAAATGAAGAATTTTAAAAGCCGACAAATACCACATCTACAAACGGTTGCAAAACATTGCGAGCGTAAGTGGATAAAAATATATCAGGAACACAAAGAGTATTTCCAGCATTATTTTCTAAAATTGCTTTTAAGTTACACCTTAGTAAACAATAAGGTCATAATCTAGACACGGAACATAGGGAGACTCGCTCGCTAGCATTACAGATATTTTAGCAAATAAGTATGTTAACGAGTGAGTTTTATTTTTAAGACACCGGGGTTCATTGATTACAAACTTAGTGCTGCGTTAAAAATAAGTACAAATGTTGTTAATCACACCCGCGTGTGAGCAACTGCATAAACAACAACAATGAGTAGTATGCAATACATATTATGTCAACTCCAATCCACAACGAACCGTCATTTAAAACAATAGTCAACAATATGCGGCAAATATCGTGAACTGAGAAAAGAAGCAGTGAAAAACTCTTAGATGAGAAATCAGAGGCAGAGCTCAGCGCATCTCCGAGTTCAAAATATAGGAAAAAAAGCAGTTTAGGTCATAAATAAGTAGTGAGATTGATAAGATGTAGTGAGATGAGGTCATGATGTTGACGAGAACATATGAGGGTTGGTAACGCTCCTTGTAATGGGAGAAATCATACAACATCATGGGGGTGAGACAGGAGGAGCTCATTGTGGACAACGGAGCAAAAGGAGGAAGGGATGGTAGATGTAACGAGAAAATCACCGAAATGCCGAAAATGCGACCATGCGGACCGCAGAAGCCACTGACAACCTAGCGAAAATGAGAGAACCCGCGACGATCATCAACACGGACCGTGAAGACAAGCATACGGGTTGCAAAACAGAGAAGAATTGCCAACGTTTTGAAATTATACTTGGAGAGAGGAAAGGATAAGTATTGGCTCCGTCTTAACAGATTTAGAAATCATTTCACTCATTTCATTTCATTTCAGAGCAAGGACGACCGAAGGAAGTAGGCGCCGGATATTCAACGGCACAATGGGGACTCTGGAAACGCCTTTTCAGTTAGCACCAGTATTCTTACGCGGCCTTCTTTTTCTGCACGGGAAATCAGTGGTTTTCTCATGTCCACGTCACCGCGAATGCGCGGGCAGATATTTTCCACAGTTATCTACGCCCAAGCACTTCTATTAATAAGTCTGATGGAAGGGTGGTTCAATTTATGCAATTATTTACATGACCTCTTTAAGGTTACGACGAACGTTTTCAATGTGATCTCCTTTGGTGAGTTCGATAACCACATCGACGCAAGTCCTAGAGATCGCAAAGGAATTAGCAGTTCAATCAATCAGGGCCTGTTTCTGCTGCAGTCTTGAAAAACGTTCAGAACCAAAAAACCAGTATTAATTTTTATCACACACCAGCAAGGAAAAATTGGCAAGAAGAGCTACAGCCCACCTTGTCCTGGTAGACTATAAAGGTCTTTTACCAGCAAGTCACGGTAGATATGAACAAAAGTGTAGTATGGACTAAAACTAAGGAAAAGCTATGATTCAACATTAGCATGTTGATTTTACGAAGCATAAATTGCCAGTCATTGATAGATGAACCCCAAACCTGACATCCACAATAAGATTGGACCAGTTACATGATGTTTACATAATCGTTACACTTACGCACCACAGTGTTCTACCTAGGTTTAATTCTATCATGTTACTTCCGTGAGCAGCCTGAATATACTTTTAAGGCAAGTGTGCAAACTGCAGCTGGACGGTAACATTTCCGCAGCAAATTATAAACGCATGGAATGACTGAGCTAAGGCGAAAAACAATAGATATTCATGTGCACTTCAGATTAAGCTCTTAATTTCTTGTGAAGGTAGGCACAGATGTAAAGGGGCAATGCTGGCTACTTAGGACCAGCGGACAATTATCAAAAATGACGTACTGGCTTCGTAAATATTGAGATTTGAATAAAACAGAAGCATAACCTTTGATAATTTTGGTCCTACCTCCTTGTCTTTCAGCGAGTTTTATGAACGTTTTACGTGTCAGACGTTTTGATTCTTTAAAAAATAATAATATTCCTATCAGATATTGCCGATGTTTTTAACCACTCCCGAGTCTAACTGTGTATTTTCCTTCGCTGTCACTTATTGCCATACGTACACCTCCATTTCCATATGCCATTTTTCATTGTTTGACTTTGCGACAACGTATACAATCGAGATCTGTTCGCTTTCCCGCTTCTTCTGGGATCAGGCGCATTATATATTTTTTTCAAGAACTTACAATCTACGCTTGAATTCGGAAGAGACTTATTGTTCGCAAGTTTACAAGCAGTCGGTCGTCTCTGGTTATCCAATGACTCCTGAATACGCTTAAGGTGTTCTGTCCGAATCATCGTGGTACTGAAACTAAGTCTACGACTGTTCAACATCAATATATCTAGAAGGAGTCGGTCTGCACCGCATACGTATTCAGAATGTACTCACCGAAGCGCATTTAATGAACTTAGAAGGACAAGTAATTGATATTTTTTGGTGATTAAACTGGAAGCTATACATCGGAATATGTTCAATTTGATTTAGATAAATTAACTGTGGGTTGTATAATTGAACTCTTAAGAATTGCTCATATTACCAAAGAGACCTTAAGGGGCCACATTTTACCAGGCAGACTGGAAATTTCTTTTTGGAAACGCGTAGCATTACATGCAGAATATTTTACTGGTTTATAAACCTTTAAGACCACAAATATACCACACGGATAATGCGTTTGTTTAATCCAATGAACGGAATGTACTCTAACCATACCAATATTCGAAATTATTGGCTGATGATTTCTTAAAGAAAAGATTTGTAAGCTGAAAATGGAACCAAAACCTTATCAAGATAGGGGATGGGCCTGGGTGGTGGTTTTTGGAGCCTTTCTTATTCATTTTTTAACCGCTGGAAGCGAGAAAGCTTACTCGATTTGGTACGTGGAAATCCTTGAAAAATATTCGGCCAACGCAACTTGGACAGCCAGCATAGGAGCAATAAGTGCTAGCGTCCGACTGATTCTAGGTTAATTATATTTTTCTGTAACATATGTTTGCAGGTCCTCTTGCAGTTTCATTATGTAAACGGTTTTCCGTCCAATCAGTCGTGATGGCCGGAGGAATTATGAGTAGTATTGGATTACTTATTTCTGCCTTCTCGACAAATATATATTGTATACTATTCGGCTTCGGGATGGTTTATGGTAAATTGAAATATTTATTGGTTAACATTTTTTATAGGTTTCGGCTTAACACTTGTATTCACGCCTGCTCTCGTGATCTGTACGACCTACTTTGAAAAGAGGCGGGCGACCGCCCTTAGTCTATCGTTAACCGGAGCTGGTGTTGGAGCTCTGGCTATACCACAACTACTTGTCTTTCTTTTAAAATCGTACAGCTATCGAGGTGCAATGATCATCATGTCTGCAATAACTCTGAATTACTGCGTTTCCGGGGCGGTCTTTTTCACTCCCCCGCGTGAGGAAGAGGTGGAAATCAAAAAAAATCGCTTGGAAAAAATTCGTTATGATCTGGAAAAAAGAGGAAAATGTGGAGGCCTAAGAACCAAATTTGCGTTTCTGGAGTTACTGTCAGATTTTTGGTTCACTCTGTTCGTCTCATCTTTCATTTTCAACATGATGGGGTCGGGTCCAGTCACAATACTCATCATCCATTATACGGAAGATTTTGGGGTTTGTCATGAGTATTTTTTTCCACCTTAGTTAACTTTCAGACCTTTCATTCAGCTCTAGAACTTTCAGTACCACAAAAATCATCCATTATATTGTCCATAAACATCCGTATCCGTTCGAAATCACTAACTTGAGGGTGAAATTTTAAGACACCTAAACACAACTTAGATCCAATGCACTCTACAGGACCAGTTTAGTCGAAGTCTAAGCACAGATAAATATTCAACATACACTGTGAGTCTTACGACTCAATAATATTTGCAATTTAATACCCCGATGTGGGTCGTTAAGCTGAAAAAATGCTATTGCGAATTTCCACTTTTTGCTTGCATTCTTAAATTCTACAGTACGAATTATGTCTTAGAGTTGCCTAGCTACCCTCCACTTCGATATCGTAAACAAATTGCTCTTTTACCTAAGTCTGCACTTATAGTTGTCATTCCTTGGAAATTGATTAATTTTTGTTGATTTTCCAGTTTATACCGTAGATATTTAATAAACATGCTTATTTACTTTACAAATTCCGTTCCATCCTTCCCATATAGCGCCCTAACAAACATTGCTAATGTAAAACACCACCTTTCTGGAAGTTTTATTGGAATTATGAACAGAAAAGACGAACATCTCAATAACATTATAAATCTAATGTCGTATTAAGACTACTGCGTAGGGTTAGATAAAGTAACGATCAGCTAATCCTCAGTAACAGAACTCTTGAGGACGATACTGATCGCTTGACATCCTAACTCTTATTAACCACACTGACTTTTTGGGCCAGTAATCTTTAGGCATACAAAAAAGGATGCATTGGCAAATAATGAGTTTCATTTTTGTAAAAAAGTTTTGTATGGAACCCTTTTGAAATTCCAAGTCCAAGGATACCGACTGGGTTTCTGACCACGGGCTCAGAGCAAACAAAATCTTCCACATACGCAGTATGGCTTCGAAATGGTTCCCTTACGCCTCCTGTGATAAACGGTTTGGATTGTCATTTCGATTTTCAACGGATACGCCTAGAATAATTCAAGACAACCCATGATCTTACAAATAAGATCGATATCTCTAAAGTAAGGTCGGCACAGGAAAAGCATAGGAGTCAAAAGTTGGCACCAAGCCTCCCAAACAGTCTTTATTAACAGACTTTTTTATTTTGTCTTGCTTGACACATGGAGGTCTGTACGTTCAGTTAACGTCATATTACGTATGGGACAAGTTTAGCTATGGGCCGTGAAACTAGTCAGTGTAATTTGCCTATTGGAATCAGTGTTACCCGCGCACTACGGTCGTAAGTCCAACTAAATGCCGTGAATACAACCTGACTGAAAATTGGTAAAATTTGGAAATGTATGCATGCATGTATGCATTAGGAAATGTTTGTACAGTATTTCTGTCAAAACAGATGGTAGTCATGTCCAAACGTTTATATTGTGCAAGTGAAAACTCGGTACCATCATAAAAGTAGAAAACGGTGGGTATTTAAATTTACCAACAAATATTCCTTTTTCAAAGCAAAAGAACAAAGTTTCCGAGAGGTCTTGGGATACCATGGGAATTCGATGCACAATGAAGGTTCCGATAACTTAAACGTGTCACTTTATTCGAAGCCCGTCAACGTACAATTGCCGGCAGTGTCAAATTATCGAGTTATCTATTGCGCATTTCGGCGTGCTAATATGAAACGACAAAACCCGTTGGAAAGTCGCTTTCACTCTTAAAGTTACAGCCTAGTTGCATCAACCTGTTGTTAGAAAAAAAATAAATAGTGAGAGATGGTGTTGTTAATTGGCGTTTAATGGCACAGACAGAGAAATAGGTAGACGAGCCCAGGCGTGTATCGTGTTGCGATAGATACAATTCAGGGGCATTTGAACAAAGATGAGTTTTCGATAAAAGACTCACTGAATATGCCCTTAATAAGCCTACCAGTTAAATGCTATACACCCTTCTGGGACACGAGAGCAAATTGCGAAGGTGTGACAATCAACGTCTGTCTTAACTATGATTTTAATTGAGATCGTATAAAGATAGCGCAGTCACATTAGATTTAATTTAAAATGAAACACAATTTTATTTTTATTTTTATCATCTAGACTTTAGAGGCGTCTCTTATTTTCACACCGAAGTTGTTTACATTATGCGTCCACAATAGGCAACCAACAAGTGTACAAAAAAGGCGAATTACAACCCAGCCAAATGAAAGCAACAAAAGGAAGAAGACGTGTCGAGCGCCACATCAATTGATTTATTGTCCTGAGCTTTCGAACTCTTACAGGAATTCTCTCAGGACAATAAATCAAGTGATCCGGTGCTTGACACGTCTTCTTCCTTATCCATGCAGATACCTGGAACACGAACCTTTTCATTCATTCGAAAGCAGAAAAATGACGGTTACTCTAAGTTTTGTTCGCAGTATGATCGCTGTTAATCCAGAGGCAAAATTCTGACACCACGTAGGATGGATCATCTGGATAAGAAGAACAAACAACAAAAGAGAATGGGAAGGACTATGCTATAATTTTTGAAACCAAAAACACATCATTGTTTAAATTCTATCCTTCGCTTCTTATTTATTTTGTTTCAGACACGGCTGGTAATTTTCAGATGGCGGTCACGCTCAGTTAAGTTGCCCATTCGACCATATCAAGTGGCTTTTAATGCCAGCAGGTCGCTGGAGTCCGTTGCCTTACTGCTATCTCTAGAAAATTAGAGTCTAAAATGTTAATCACTCAATTTCGAGAAACAGAGTCAAACAGTGCAAAGCATATCCAAAATGACAGAACCCATGGAACAGCGCTGGCATTTGAAGTTGCGATGCGTGACTCCTTATCTAATCTTTACAAAACTAGCGCCCCTGGCTTTGTTTTCTGATATATTTAATAAACTACACAAATTCATAGAATATGAGAGGCTTTCTTGGCGCGCTTTATCGATGAAAAAGATGATGAGGTCTAAAAAGTGGTTGCACTCAAAGCACTGCAATCATCAGGCAAAACTCCAACTTATAAATAAAAGTCTGAAGGCACCAGTGGGAGGGCTGCATTGTGACCGTAACCCGAGTTATTGCCCCGGACGGCAGTGGCCCCCTAGCGAAGCCAGTCAGGCCAAGGAGAGTGTGACAGTATGTGGGAGTCATGGTGGCAGATGCCTTTGCATGATTGTGGAGCAAGTTCAAATTGTGAGCGACTAGTGTGTTGCATTGCCCCGAGAGATGTGGCGTAAAGAGGCACCTGCTGCATCGGCCGAGGGATGTTATGTTCA